CATTACATTGCAATTGTGGTGCACTGATACAAGGTATTATTTTAATAATTATATTGACAAACTAGAGAGGATCACAACTTGTGTTATCTTTACAATGACACATTTTGTTACATCCAATACCGAAGGTTCCATGATAACATGCTGTAAGAATTAACATCTTATGTTAAAATATCACAGGTTAATGGAAAATACTTAGACATTAAGCTTTCTTTTGCATCACAACACGCAACAGTATATGTAATGCTTCAACAGTTACTATAAAATATAAACATTACAAAGAATTAAAGACATGCGCTGTATTAAATACATACTATGCTCATCCTTGAGTGAAATATTATAATCATAGAAATATATTGAAATCTATAAAATTCTTACTGAGTATGTCTTATTTGAAAGAAAGAAAGAATACACTATGTATGAGAAGCTGCACCAATTGAACGTGGTCTTTTCTTTAAAAAAAACCTGCCAGTTTTTAAATGACACTATATATTCATATTGTGACCACCTATAGTGTTAAGAGTCTTAAACACAACATATCTACTTTGTGTGAAGTCACAACATGTTTATTGTATATTTACAAAGAGACTGTGTAGCAATCATCAGTATTTGCTAATATCAAATTTGAGCATAGTTTATCTTTAAAGCATTTTTGTGCTATGCTTGTATCCAATGGAATTGAACGTTACCACAGTTTTAGCTGAGTAAGGAACTAAATCATTAGTTAAATGAGCAGCAGTTATAAAATTTGATGACATTTATGCGACTGAAAATTAAATGTCAAACCTGAACAAAATATTTTAAGGGAAAAGATAAACATTACGTACAATTACAAATGAAATTTGTTTTCAAATCGCCATCCTGGTCTGCAAATAACATTCGGACTTATTAATAGTGCAGTAACTATCCTAACAAGAAAATTACAAGAACCCCACTATTTAGTTTAATGGTCGTTTATAAAAAAAAAGTTTTGCAATTTTAACAATCTTAATCCGGATTTATCAGAGGTCGGGCAATTAGTAAAAAATTGTAAGAATATGGATAATGTGTGATCCCTCGGAAGCATGAATCACAACAAAATTAAATAAAAATTGCAGATCCGGTACATGAGGAATAACGAACAAGTGCAACATCCCTCACGTCCCCTAGTACTGGCTTGAGTGGAACTCACTTTTTAGCAGTGCTGGAATCAATGATCCCGAAGGACCAGAAAAATATAACAAACATATAAAAAAGTCAAAGCACTGAGGGTACTGAACTTGTTAGGAAACACAATTTTTAATACTATTGTAAACTTTACATCCTAACACTGTCGGAAAATTTTCTATGTAAACAAAAAAGGTCGGAAGCGTGAATTATTCTACATTCTAACCGGTGTTAAACTGCCAATAAACACTGGTTAGGGACTACTTGTATATGCGGCTGTTATGTTTTCAACCTCGATTATATAGTTTACAAAGCCTTTTAAAGCAATAATAAAGAACCATCCTAAGTATACAACTCATTCATAAACGCTGACATTATTTCATACATAGAAGAATGATAAATGGGGCACTGATGTAAACACAATAAAATTCATTCTAAGACGTAAGTTTTTATTGTTGAAAACTTGATAAAATACCGTTCTTTCTTATTATTTCTTTGTTTAATATTTTCTATATCTCAGCAACAGTGGGGTGCGAAAATCGAACAGCGTTATACAAAAATGGGCACCCGGAAGTTATTTCCTCTTGAAAAAATAACATTAGTGATCTTCCTTATTTTATCGTGTTAGAATCGAAATAATATCGGTCTTAGCGGTGTTTATCGGCTATTTAACACCGGTTTTGTCGTTTTCATGCGAAACAATTATCCACTCAGGCCTACGGCCTTCGTGGTCAATTCATACGCATCAACATTTTGTTCTGAAAACTATCTAAAATGATAGTAAATGGTCTAAGAATATATATTCGAACACCAATATCTTTAATTCTGTCATTAACGCTGTGCAGACTTTTAAAGTTTTGTTTACGTGACGTCATAATGAGGCGCCAAACAGCGCGAGCAAAAGCAGTCTAAACACTATTTCAATGTCGAAAACCATTAAATTTAACATTTATTTCACTATTAATACTCTGTATTTCAATTACAAAACATAAAGTGAAATAAAACTGAGAATCTAAACACACAAAATTTTATCAACGTTTTCAAAATTCATTTTTTTTTTCAAAATGTTTCTGCGAACAGTAATCTTAACGACAGTCTTCTCAATCGACTGGAACAACCTTTAAAGAACATTTCTATTGGGTTCGCTAAGGCGAAAACAAATTTAACCACGAAACATATAGTCCAACTATTTATTTTTTCTTGACGTGTTAGAATGGAAATAGATTTTAAAGTGCGTGCATAATTGTATCATAAGCTTCGTTCAAATGCTTTGTAATGAATCACTCAGACTTATCGGCCTTCGTGATAATATTACTACGCGTTTGAAATCAAACCGTGCATTATTGAACAACAATGCACTCAGAATTGATATCTTTTTCCTAATAATATTTCGTAAACTAGAGCCTTTTTATCCAGAATTTATTTAATTACGTTATGTTTATACATTTTTACTACCATAAATCAGGTTATTTTCGCATATGCAAATTTCGAGATTTTGGCAGTGATATAATTTTAACGAATCTAATTTTACCGAGTTTTTTGTTTATGTTTCGTTTCTTTTGCGTTTTTCTATTGACAAAGAGAGACCAGATATTTATTGGTATCACTGGTTAAATTCTGTTCTCAATTTTCTATTGATGTGTCGCTTACAAACATGTATTCGGTATTTCACACTTACTGTCTCTTTTATCTTATTGTTAACCTGCCTTTGTTTGTTTCCCTATTTGCAATGTATGAGTGATCTTATTATATCGGACAATCGATAAATAAGCGTAAACAAGAATACCCGTAAGCTCACTGTGTAACTTAAATTTTATGTACATCTATTTACAAAACTAAAATAAATAATAATGCTAGATAACCATGAATATCGCAAATTGATATTTAAATCACAAAATACATTAATCTTCGATAGGTTTTCGATATGTTTCGTGAGATAAATGCAGTAAGATGTGATTGAATTCAATTTGTGTCTATACAATTATATTGAGCGTTATAGCGCAATGGTGTAAACTACAAGTTATAATTTCTAATGTCCTGTGAGTTGTAAGATCGAGACCTTGTAAGTTTATGTTTTTTCTTATATCTTATATTTTCAACATGATTGAAGCTGTGATTGGTTTTTTAAGTGTTTTCGTTTTGTTTAAGAATGTTTGCACTTATTTTGGTTAATACATGTAAATTACATGAATAATACAAAACAACTATTCAAAAATATTCACAAGGAGATATAGTGCAAATGGGTCAGGCTACAGTAGACAATTTTACACTCTGTCATTTTCATTACAATATACTGCAAAAATAAAAATAGGCTAAGTTTAAAATAATGGCAACAGTAGGGATCGAGCCACAGACCTTTCATAAAGTAGATATTTAATTGACAGTGCTATTGTGGATTCGACGACGATCTTCAGATTAAACTTGTGTATGTTTTCAAAAATATAAGTTATAAACTCAATATTTATTCTCGTAAACATCACGTGTAGAGCCGATAGTGGATCGAATATTTGAATGAGCGCCATAATGTATTCATAAATGACAGGCCAATAAAAGCAGACTATATACAGTTTTGAGCGCAACCGGTGATTTGAAAGGCAAGCGTTCTTGTGCGCATAATTTTGATTTTGATAGTCAAGATAATTCAAAGGTCAATGTTATATTTTAATTATTCTATTCAACTTTTCTGTTTTGTTGTGAGCGTTGTCAAGTATGGATCAAACCAATAAAAATTACACAGTCACATCAAATAAGCAAAATTCATTATATTGACCTTTCGTCAGTTCATGTAAAGTTCAGGTTCATATTTATTGTATACAAATGTCTGTTTTGTCATAGGTGTTTTTGCCCAATCATACATAAAACTAGTTGATAGATAACAAAGTTATTACAATATAAGCAGAGTTCCAATGTTTGGTCTTTACGTTAAAGGACATTCAATGTTAACGTCAGGCTTAAATTATTCACTTTGTCGGTCATGTCATTAGTGTTTTTTGGTAATGTGTGCATCAAATAAATTCAAGATAGATAAGGTATGATCAATTTTAGCACAAGTCACTGATTTGACATTTTACGTCAAGGTCATTTAAGGTCAATGTCATGTAGAATCAAATCATCTTTGATGTCTTGTATCAATGGCTTATGTGTCTGAATATGATGACAATCCATTTTGTTATAATTTGACATGCAAGGTCAGTTCCATTTATGAGTCAAGATGAATTTAATTTGACTTTTTTGGAGATTTTGTCATAAAACTAGTTGAATGTATTAATGTATGACAATCCACCCAGTGAAGATCAAGCAAGTTTTTCTAAATTTGTCCCTTGAAATATTTCCTGATGCGTAAATTGAATGGGAGAGAATCACGCCGTTCGTTTTCCAAACAAACAAGATGGCGAATGCAGGTGAAATGTAAGCTTTTCCCCTTTTTACTCTGAAATTCGTGATGTTCTGGTGTAATGGTACAGACAATAATCTTCTCCACAATTTTCCGGGCATACAGGATTTGTTTCATGATGTTTCGTCCCGTACTTCATCGGAAATGTGCGTCACCACATTCGAAGCGAGAGAATTTATCACCAGTATGATCATGATAACGGACGGCTTCTTTTCTCAAATTCACGGTTTTCTTTATATGTTTGTACATAAACTTTAACAAATTGTAATATATAGTCATCTAAGCATTCATTCCCATTCTGGCTAGATTTACTGCTGTAAATATTAATATCGGGGCATTTTCCCGAAAGGATAACGTATGGCGCTCAAAATATTAGTAATAATAATTACAATAACAAATTGACTTTTTACAAATATCGAATGTTATTTAGACATTAAAGTTGGACGAGCAAATACAAATTATTTTAACCCTTTCGTGACGACTCACCATCTTCACATGCCTCTCCTGTCCAGCCTGCCTGACAACCAGGTGTCCGACATTTCCCTGTTACTTGATCACATCTGTTGTTGTCCGAACAGTGACAGCTATGTAAACATCCCGATCCAAAGTTACCTTTATTACACTCTTTAAAAAGCAACCAAATTATGTTAACATTCATGAAATAATAACTCTTTTAGAATGTGTTGCGTACTATTCATAATGATAGTTTAAATTCCATGTATCTCGTACATACACGTAAGTATTTTCAAGAAAGTTATTTTAAAACATAACAGGGACCGCAATGATAGTTTAGATTCCATGTACATACACGTAAGTATTTTCAAGAAAGTCATTTTACAACATTATAGGGACATCTAACTCTTAAATATAATCTACGTAATATTGTTGCCGGAATGAAGTTATTTATTACAGTACGTTAATGAAATTTATTTTTGCGTTGATACATCGAATTTTATATACCAATTTCAGAACCTTTAAAAGTAATGCAACAAATTATCGAATCATAATAAGGTGCTTGATTCGGGTAGTAAAAATTACATAGTAAAGTACTTGCATTTCCATTTATAGAAATAATAATTCAGTCATTCAAGCAAAAGACTTTAGTATAGTAGAATTTTGTCAAATATTTATTTGCTAACCAACGATGATAACTTTTCATTTTTATTTTTTCATTTTTACATTTATTTATAAAGATTACATAATAATATATTGGATTAAATTCATAGTGGTACCTTTCTCATATAACTTGAATTCACATAACGTCAGCACTATTTGGTTCAACTCTACTATGAAGAATTGTGCGATTATTGCGTCGAACCATATCGAAAAATTCCGTGTCTTAGCATCCATCGATGGAACGTTGTAAACCTTCATTTTATTTGAAACTATTTCTGACTTCATTGATACGTTTCCAGCATAAATTGTTGCATTGTCTAATTGCCAGTTATTATCTGCCATGAAAAAAAACTTCTGTTGATAACACACGTTAAACGAATATTAAACGACTTTTCTTGTTTTAAAAGCTGGTTTGCATAAATGTTGACCTTAATTAGATTTGGCTAAAACTAAAAATTCTTTTTATCACACCCACCTGTTTGACAAACTAAAACTATATTGATTTCAAATATCTCTAAAGATACTTATGTCGTAACATCACAAATTTTAATCAGTTCCCTTCATTTTCTGCTGAGGTTGATACAATATTTGATAAACTAATAAAATTAGGAGGGTATTTTAATGGAGTTGTGGAAACCCTTGTTCCGTATTGAATCTATTATCAATATAAAATTCTGAATACAAAACTACATACAGTTAAACAAACTATATAATCGTACCTGCTGCACGTCCAAATATCTGTAAACCACCTAACAGGTATTTCTGTTTAAGATCAATTTGCCACCATGAAGCAGATTTTCCGTTTGTAACACTGCAGCATTTACATGTATCTACTGAATAATTGTGCACTCCGTCTATTGCTTTACTAGAGTTAAAATCTTGTGGATTATTATATGGAGAAAATATACTGGACTGGCTTGTTGTTACGTTTGCTCTGATACGTTCGATAAGATTGGAATCTGAAACGATTAAATTGAAACTTCTTTCATCGCAAAAACAAATGTCCGGCGAGTGACATGAGCGTGATGAAAACCAGTATAGAACCATATTGTCTATGTTAACAATATGCATCATGTCTAAATAAAAAAACAACAACAAAAACTGTTGGGAATATAAAAGAGACAAGCCATTTAACTCAGTAGGCCGGTGAAGACAAGAATCACGTTTGTCCTGTTCAACAAGATCCTATGTAAAAATTTTTTGTTCGATTTTCAAAAACTTGGTCAAGATTGGTTCAATAATGACAACTCTAAACCATAAAAACTGAACTTAGCAACATATTTGAACTCAATGTGAGAACTGAAGCCTCAAAGAATCAGACGACTGCTCTAGGACAAACTATTGCCTCAATGTTTACATCCAGATTCCACGACTAAGCACACTGTTCATGTGTTTCCACATGCTCAGACTTAAAAACGTGATGCAAAAAAATTCTTAGAACTACATAAAGCTAATTTTATTTGCAATTTTTACACATGATATGTTTTGTTAACATAGACAATGTGGTTCTATAATGGTTTTCATCATGCTTACCAAACACCTGTGATCACAAATAGAATATCAATACAATCAAAATTTAACATCTTTAACAGTGTAAACTTAAATCTTATATTACCTGCTGGTAGCCATGAAAACAGTTTTATTATAACAGTTTGTTAAGACTAAATGTAACAATGAATGCCTAACATTAATAATAAAACCAGAGGCTCTATAATTACCTATGTTGTATATTCAACTAAATTAGGAACCTTTTACACAAATAAACCTAAATACTAGAATTTTCTTTCTTACTTTCTTTTGTGGTGTAAACATACAGCTTAGATAGTGATAGAAGATTATTTATTTGCAACAATTGTAGAGAAAGAAATTATAGGCATATCTTTCAAGTGTTGGAAATAGAGAAAACTTACAAATGACCATGAATAGTTCTTTGAATACAGTAAATATGTGCAGCAAGAATCTTTTAAATCTTTAAATACATTGGATTGAACATATGTCAGTAAGATTTCTAGAAAGTTGAGGAAACAGTTGGACACACAAAGTAACAAATTTAGCTTTAGCTTTTTAGCTTTGGTTGTAAAACATAGATTTATTTCCGTGTGTTATTTCTAGTATCTCACCATGTTACCTAAACGTTTCTGTAACCAAAGACAGAAAAATGAAAACAAATGAAGAACAAACTATTTGAATGTGACATTTGGAACTTTAATAGAGTGTATTGACATTGTATTTTATACTAAGTTTTATTCTTTATAAGATAAAATAATCAAGTCCTTTATTTTATAGTGTTTTCGGTATTTTCCCTTAAAAACTAGACCACATTCATTGTAGTGTTTAGGTATGTTCCATAACAAAGTCTGGTATGTAAATATTTAATATCTTTTTGAGATTTTTTTTTGATTATATTGTAATTTGAATATTTTTGGGATAATTATTTTGACATGTTTTATTTAAGGATAAATGTACGTCGAGTCCGGTTTGAGGTCGCACCTATGTATATATTCTATACATTTTATGTTTAGGAATGTTACTTGCAGGAACTTAATTCTTAGCAACATGATACTTATAGAAACGGACTATTTGCGGACTTTGTATATATTCTTTGTAATAATTATATCTATTTACATTAACATTAACCTGCTGGAACTGAAAGTGGCATTTGCCACTTTTACAGAATCAGGCCAGCCGACACTTCTGTGCAGACTGTCAAGTCTCTATATGTTATCAGCTCATTTTAGTTTCTGTATTTCAAAATCCCTTAAAGTTTAAATTGACTGTTTACCGTGTGATAGAATTTTTAGATTTTATCATATCATATTTAAACGTTGTAAGTGAAACGAAACGAAAGTTGCGATCACGTTTACAATTATCTGCCCAATTTAAGGGTAGGAAGGTAAAGGATAACTACTTTTAGCTATTCCACTCATGTTAGCTTCACAGTGCCTTCTTAACATATTCTAAAATTTTTGCAAAGCTTAGATAAATTTTCTGAAACAATTTGAACAGTTTGGTTGTTTCTGAACATCGTAGATATTTCGTATGCAGAAGTAAATAGATTTTGATCGCAACTGGTGATTTGCAAAGGGAAACATGCTTGCCAATCAATATAATTAAAAGGTCGTATTTAAATCATTAAACTTGTCGTTTTTGTTAGAATTGTTGTCAAATATGAATCAAATCTAGATATATAATATATAGATGGATGGATGGATGGATGGATAACAAAGTCATGATAGTCTATGCAAAATTCAATAGTCAGACCTTGACAGTTATTAATCATACCCTTAATGAAATAACAAAGTTAAGACAATATAAGAAATATACCATCGTTTACTGTCAAGTGCATTTAAAAACAATGCACGGGTTATCGGTCAAATGCTTTGTAATGAGTCATCAGTGCCTATTGGCATTCGTGACTATATTCCTGAACATTTAAACTCGAACAGTACATTAGTCTACAACAGTGCACTCAAAATTGACACTTATTTTATGATTATAATGCTGTTGTTAATACGGCCAACAGGGCTGTTTTCAGTTGCTTTCAATCAAGTAACAAGCCTAATATGAATTTAACACTATGATATTTATTTATAATGACATAAAATAAACTTCATTCATATCTACTTTTCACAACAACTGTAAACAAAAGTTTGATGACTTGTTTTAATAAGAATAGGAATAACTGAAAAGATTGCATTCAATTTAATAAGCATCGCAAAAGGAAGGGAAGGAGAATTGTCTATTTCCAAAATCCACATACAAAGAACAACAGTCTAGTTTATAACTAAGCATCGACCTGACACAAAATAGAACTACATCATGTCAGTACAATCACGATTAAATTCGTTATTAGTATTGGTATAAAACAATTATAATATTAGATATGTTAGTCTAATTTTTATTATATACTTATAAATGAAATATTGAGAAATATTGAAGAAATAAAATACGTATTTTTATTTTCCGTATTTTTACTACAGTGAAAACGTTTTCCATATTTTCACCAGTGTCTTGTCGTACTATTTTCTTCTAAATTCAGCTAATATACAACGTTAAAGAGGAAATCTTTGAAATTATAATGTTTAAAATACGAAAATGTATATAAGAAACAGAAAATTCAAGTTTTTACTCTAAATTCAAGATTTGTCATATTTCATACCACTCGATGAAAATAAATCCTGTATTTATAGGAAAAAACTTGAATATCCTCAATATAATCAATTTTATGCTCTTGTAGAAAATGTTTAATTATGAGTAATATGACACATATGTTTTTGCATGTAACATAATGTAACATAATGCCTTATGTCGAAAATGAAATTACAAGACCATTACTTTACGACTTAAGTTAAAAAACATGACAATCCATCGAATAATGAGTATATTATATTTGCATTTTAGTAAATAACATAGTGCGTTGTAACGAAAGTGGACGTACAAGACAATTGCTACTATTTCCTGATGTCAAGATTGAAGGTTATTTTTACAAAATCAAGTATCACACATATAAGGGGAATTACCATGGAATTCTTCGATAATCAAGATATTTTTACTTATTGTTTTAAAACATGTATTTATTACCGATAAATTATATCTGTTATAATAATTACATAAAATTAATTGTTTTTTAAAGAAATGAATGTAATGAAGACATTAAAGACAAAAATGTTTCAACCATTTCGTGACGGCTTACCTTCGGCACATGCTTCGCCTTTCCAGCCTGCTTTGCAACCAGGTGTCTGACATTTCCCTGTTACTTGATTACATCCGTTATTATCTGAACAGTGACAACTATGCAAACATCCCGATCCAAAATGACCTATATCACACCCTGAATAAACAAGAACCAAATTGATCTAACACTAGTGAAATTATCCTTCTGTGTGGAATACTATTCATGACGTTATTTTAAAACACAACGCTGGTATTTTTAAGCAAGCCATTTAAAAACCATTGCAGTAACAACTTACTCAAAAGTAAGTGGGAGCTATGAAATATTGATGGCGACATATAATCATTATTAAGATCATTGAATCCACCATTACTCAGATACATCAAAATTTATTTCCCGATTTTAAATACCTTTACATGCACAACATATTTTAATACTGTCAAGATGTTTAATTCCTTAAGTAAGACAATTACCATCGTAAAATACTTGCACTTACATTGATCAAATAATTTAGCCAAACAATTTAGTTACCGTTTAGTGGCAACTTGTCATATTTGTCGAACACAGATGATATTACATTGTAAAGATGACATAATAAAATACTGAATTAGATTTGTAGCTATACCTTTCTCATATAACTTGAATTCACATAACGTCAACTCTTTTTGGTTTAATTCTACTAAGAAATATTGTGCAATTATGGCATCTATTTGTTTCGTAAAATTACGTGTCATAGCATCCATCGATGGAACATTGTAAATCTTCATTTTATTTGAATTTACTCCTGGCTTCATTGATACGTTTCCAGCATAAATTGTTGCATTTTCCAATTGGTAGTTATATTCTGCCAAAAAATGGATTGGTAACACACGTATAACGAATAAACGTATTATATTGTTTTAAAAGCCGGTTTGCCATTGTTGACAGTAAATTAATATTCTTCTGTGTAATATGTCAAAAAATAAAACATTCTAATTTTTTACTGATTTTGCAAACATTTTCTTTGACGATACATTTGTCGTAACATCACAGATTATCTTTCTTTCGTTTCGTTTTCTCATGAAGCTGATTCTATATTTGATAAACTAATAAAATTACGAGGATAGTTTAATTAAATTTTGAAAACCCATGTTCCGTATTAAATATATCATTAATGTACTATAAAAATGTAAAAACAAAACCTCAAAATACAAAAACTTATACGGTTAAACAAATTATATTATCTTACTTGCTGCACGTCCAAATATCTTCAAAGTACCTATTAAGTATTTCTGTCCAAGATCAATTTGCCACCACGAAGGAATGGGTCCGTGTGTAACACTGCAGCATTTACATGAATCTATTGAATAATTCTGCACCCCGTCTATTGCTTTACTTGAGTTGAAATCTTGTGGATTTTTGGATGGAGAATAAATACTAGATTGGCTTGTTGTTACATCTGCTCTGATACGTTCGATAAGATTGGATTCTGAAACGATAAAAATGAGACAAATTTGTCGAATATAAAAAAAGGAATATATAATAATATCAAAATTTTAATAGTGACCAGTGATAGCAACATTCCATTCAAATTGTAATAAAAATGAATTATAACGAATACATACTTATATTATAAGCAGGAAACGTTGCTAGAGTGATTTGTTTGGGAAAGGTACGATGACAAAATAAGATTTCTATAATTCCGCTTTTGTGATTATTTGCTTTGTTCCGATTTATCTATTATTGGGGGGGGGGGGGTATAGGTTTTACGGGAGAATTTTAATCTAAACAAATCAAACACCTACCCGATAATATGCAAGTTAATGCATTCTTACACAAAGGATATGATGATATATTTGGTGTAGGTTCAGACATTCTAAGATAATTGGCATATTTTATATCTTAAAGATTCTGTTATACGTTAGAAACCTTATATTTCTGCTCTTTGTTCAGTATGAATAGTTTAACTGTCTTGATCTTTTCATGGTACATGACATCATTAAACATTATATTTCATATATTAAAAATCAATTTAAGCAAACTCAACCAAAATGCTGACTCTTTTTCGAAGTCTTTTAAGAATGTTGATTAAAGGTAATGCAATTATGTCAAGTGTCTTTAAAACGGACCCTAGCCCCCAGTTAGCTTTTCCGAAAATTATATTCAAAGCAATGAAAAGCATAAAATTTGATGAATAAAACAGCATTGAAACTGTAAAACACTTTAAAACATAGTCATTATATAACCGTTTCAAAAATACAAAGATATCATACACCAAGATATTTTGAATAAGATCGATCATTTCCCGAAGTGATTGAAACAAATGTTTATAGAAAATAAAGTATTAGTAATCATTTTATCAGGTTGATATCAATATAAAGCCTTATAAATCTAGTGTGGTGTTTCGCGTCAGCGTGTTATGTTTTTTTCGTTCGTCTTTATGGTAATTGAACTGATTTACCGAGTTTAATGACAGATGATTGAACTGTATGAAAACTATTATCATAGGCATGGAGATTAAGGGGCATTCCTGACAATTGTAGCTCATATATTTGAAATAAGTCGATAGCTATTGTTCTTACTTCGCTTTTATTTAGATTTATTACATTTGACACGAATACTTTCCATGCATAGCATGTTTATGTAAACATAAAAATTTTAAAGTTTGCGTACTTTAAAATTTATGGTTTCGCTTACTTAATGTCTAAACTGAATAATATATGTGACATTTATAGTGTGGATTGTATGTATATCGGCCTTGATTATATACCTGAACCATGCATTTTCAACAAGTTTCAAAATTTATATATCTTCCCCAATAAAATATGTAAACCAGAGGAGAAAACCCCAGAGTCTTCCGTTTTATGAGGATATATCACTACAACAAAGTCATTTTATAGAAATCAATTATGTGTTGAAGCGATTCTTTTATTGCATGTGGGATAAATTGTTAAAATTTTGTTTCAGAATCTATTATTTAAAATTTTTAAGACGATGTTAACGCCTAAACTAAACGTACGTGCAATTAAATACTGTTCAATTACATTTTATTAGTACATAGCGCTTTATAAATATGCACATTATCGTTCGTTTTGTGGTAAGTTTTAATATTTTGACTCACAGAGATGAAAATTTAGTTTCATAATACCGTTGTCATATAGGAAGGTGTAATTCTAATGTCACACTTTTGTTAATATCGCAAAGTTCGAATTGGAGAGGGTGGAACGGGGGGGGGGGGGGGGGGTGGTCATTTTGTAAATGGTTTATATACAGGTCAATATCAAATAATGATAATGTTATATTGTACCATAGTTGTTTTCAATTTTATAGTCTAGTTTATGTGTATAATCAAAAACCTACCAGTCGGAATGTATCGGTAACGCTTATAAAAAGGGTGGGGGAGTATTTTTGTATCAAAGGTAGTTATTATATTATATCCTTATCATTTTTCGTTATAAATTGTTGGTCAATGACCATTATAATAGTTAATCTTTCTAAATATTAAGCATATTAGGCTCAACTTGTAAACGGAAATATGAGTATAACGCCACTAGTATGTCACTAATATGAGTATAATCCGATCTTGCAATTATTTGTAAATTCTGATTTGAGCTTACATTCATTATATTCGTACCGTTTCTAGGGAAACATTTTGATATAAGTCATAACAGAAGATAAAAGTAGAAAAATTCCTTCCTCCGAGAGAAATGAAAACAAATATAAAACAAAACTTTAAGAATTTATGTATCTGAATATGTTCATTGAAGAAAATGTACATGGGGATTCCATTTCTCAAATCATTTACAATTCCTACTTTGATGCGTTGACGTAAAAGTAAGTTTCATTTGTTCAGGTCCAATAGTTTACATCCTGTGGCTATTGTAATGGTTTCCATTATAAAATTGAATTGTAATTATTGAATGTTCTAGTTGGAAGCATTAATATATTATATAAGGATTTGCAGTCCTTCATGACCCCCATACATCTGTACACTAGCTAACTATCAGTAAAATATAAGAGCAAATATAAATAGTGATATTGACTCTAAGAGGTACTTTGTTAAAAATTTACATTTGGGCTACTCAAGGACTAATTTGTTACCGTTGCCAACATAAAGTCATAAGATTTTATGAAATTTTTTTTTTCAGTTTTGTAATAAGAGATTAGTACTTGGTTCCGATAATGGCATAAAGGCCGCAGACCCAAAGGTCATTGTGGATTCGAGAGACATTATAGTATTACCAAATATTAACGTCTATAATACATATGCCACGTGTGCTTTGAAAATACTAAATTTAGACATTCGCCATTATTCTTGATTGTCGCCCTTTCTAAGAAAATGTAAGCAAGTATCCGTTATTCTGTTTAACAAACTAGCCGTAAACCTCCGATATTCATAGAACACATAGTAGTCCAAAATAAAGATGATAAAGTGTTATTTAATTGTTGTGTATGATCTATTATTATGGTGATAGCCGCTAGTTTTCTTGTGAAGTTGTGTGCTTGAATTGAACAGATCTAGGACTGATTTTGTCAAGTAATACATCATATAGCTCTAGATAACACTGACCATGATCACGGATCTAGATGTTTCGTGTATTGTTGATGTTTCTAGTTCTTCATTTGCTTCACATGGTCATATAGTTTTGAAGATGATAACTCTAGTTTTATATAGATAGATAAATATTTGGCTTATATTGCTTTTTTATATTTTCTGCTGCCTTCACATTACAGGTCTACAGTCAATATGAAATCATTTTACGAATTTCGGCGGGTCACGTTTTGCTTTGGCACGGTTATTGAATATTTTTCTCGAGTTTATAGATATGCAATATTTAACTTGATAATGTGAGGTAAGCATAAACCTTTGTTTGAAAGTGATTCCACTTAATTAAACGTCAGCGGCTATCTTGCAAGTCACTGAAAGTTACGTCATTTTAAACATGCGTTCATTCGCTCGCCCATTATGGAAAAAATTCCGGGTAGCAAGGCGGTCGAAATCGCATAATCTTGACCAAGATATTGCCAAAATAGCATTGAATACCCTAGACTTTATAACTATGCATAGTAACATAGATATAAATAGTTTTGTTTGCTTTATCAAAAGGATTGCTTTTGTTCTATAATAATTTATTATCATTGTTCTTCTTTCGTTGAGATTTTATGTTATCTCTATTAAACCATTTTTTGCATGTTACTGATATCTATCATGATCGAATCATAGTTTACTTTAAAATAGTGATGAACTTTAACTTTCCTATGAGGACCATGGTACTTTTGACCATCTTACGTCTCGTTGAGATACTTATTTTTTATCATATTTTTAAACAAAACAATATGCGGGTGTAATATTCAAAGGACTTTAATTTACACTTGCATTATGATAATTAAATCTTATGACCCTAATGTACAATATAATTTTATTTGGCTCTACAATACCTTGCATTAGGACGACTATTGTTACGAAAAGAAATAACAACATAAGATTAGTCAAAATGGAGCCATAATTTACCTTCAAGGCATTTGATTGTAGTCGCATGTAAAAGGAGCAGCACAATACAGAAACGTGTCCTCATTGTGTCTTAGTTGATTCTCTGTAAACATCAAAACAATTCATTTCACATACTATCATAGGCAGTTTGATAAATATTGTAATTTCACATCCTTTAAAATTCATCCAAATGCACTTAAGGTACTTGCTCCACATGATGTTCTAATTTAATTAATAATTTCATCCAATCTTATCAATTTAGCCTCATATTTATTTCTGAGTCCATAACTGTTGATTTTGATAGTTTTCTTTGATTTTATGTATTGTTTAATTCTGGTGTAAAATAAACAGATCATTTCATATTGTCATATCTTGTCTGTCTGTTCACCTATTATATAAACGTCATTCCTGTATAACTAACCGTTTATTTACAAGCAATGTACTATTTCAAATCAAAACATGGCAAATGTAGTTATCATGAACAAAATCAGCATCCCCTTTGAAGTAGTAAGCGAGTTCCGGTGAATACAAATATGTAAGCTTGTATTACAATTTTGGAAATAATTATTAAGAAATATACCTGGCTTGGAATATCCTTTACTACACACTGATTATGAAGGAAGTTAAAATTTCTTAAATTTATCTTTCACTGATATCTGAAGTTTGAGTTGTTATCTAACATATTCCGGGTTGTTAGCTTCTTACGACACTGTCAATCAAAATAACTTATTATCTCCGTAAGAAAAAAAAATCCATCGTAAATAGTGAAACATAAGTACCGTTTTTAAAATTGAATTAATTTACTTTTCTTCTACCTTACCAGCTTTTCGGATAACTTACCAGTAACCTCTCCAAATGTGAATGACTACAGTAACGGATGTTTAAATACTAACTCATGGTGTCTAAGGTGAGAGAGAGAGAGAAAAAAAGCTATTATACCTTATATCTATAATCAATTGCCATGAAGAAATTGTGCGGTCCTTTGAAATCCCGCTTTTAAAAAGTCTGATTTTAATCAAGTTTTTAAAAGACCATTTCAGAAGCTTAGGATTCAACACGTGACTTTGTTTATACAATATTGTTCAAAATGTGACCCTTAAGTAACACTTGTACTGTCGGAGAGTCTCTAAGCTTTTTATTATTTGTTTTACCAAATACGGATCTTACTGTCAGGAACTGTTGTTAATAAAGATAGAAATCGGTAACATTTGTGCGGGCGTGTGTGAAGTGAATTGAGTCCTTATCGTATGGCACATGTACACACTGGAATCAGTCTTAAGACTGCTAGTACTATTAGGAAAGTTATTAACATAATACTAATGTTGTCTGAAATCTAATCCGGCTGCACATATACTAAGTATAGCCTTGTTTTATAGTTTATACT